CTCCCAAGTAGCTGGGACTACAGGCGCCCGCCACAACGCCCAGCTTTTTGTTGTTGTTGTAGTTGTCATTGTTGTTTAGCTGGCCCAGGCTGGGTTAGAATCCACCAGCCCTGGGGCATGTGGCCCATTGGCGGGCACCCTAGCCACTGAGCTACAGGTGCCGAGCCCCAAATACATTTTTTTGTTCTAATAATACAGATCTAAATCTTTCTTCAGGTCTTTTGGTCAGTAATAGAGCAAAATCTAGAAAATTGAGGTTGGAGAAAAATTGAAGGTGAAAAGATGGGGAAGACTGGACTTCCAGCAAGAGTCTAATTTTATATGTTAAATAATAAACCTAACACATATCAGATGTTCAGTTATTAAGTCACAAGCATGTAGTACAAGTCTAATCATGTCAGAGAAGATACCTGCTTAATTTTCCAAAAATGCTAATTGTTTCTTGCTATTAGTATTTTTTTCCTGTAATAGGTTTTTTCCTATAATGCTTTAAGGAACACACATAGACATGTGGTATATATATGCACATACACATGTTTTTAAATTACAAAACAATTTTTTTAGAGACAGATTAGCTGGGACTATAGGTGCACACTAGTATGTTGACTAATTTTTCTTTTTCTGGGGGCGGGGTTAGAATCTTGTGACATTCTAGCTTACAGCAATCTCAGACTCCTGAGTTTAAGTGGTTCTCCTTCCCCAGTCTCCCAAGTAGCTAGGTCTACAGGCACCTGCCACAATGCCAGGCTAATTTTTCTATTTGTAGTAGAGATAGGGTCTGGCTCTTGCTTAGGTTGGTCTCGAACTTCTGAGCTCAAACAATCCACCTGCCTTGGCCTCCCACAATTTGAAGACTACAGGTGTGAGCCACCTCTCTCGGTGTAGTTTCTCTTTATTTGTTGTAGAGATGGGGTTTTGCTATTTTGTCCAGGCTGGTGTCTTGAGTTCCAGGCCAAAAGTGATCCTCTCTTCTTGGCCTCCCAAAGTGCTAGGATTATAGGCATGGGTCACTGTACCTGGCCTATTTTTAAAACGTTTAAATTGGCATATAACAGAGAAAAATGCACTAAATATATATGTGTAAAGATTTCACAAAATAAATATATTTGTTTAATTTAGTCCCTTTTGTGTTGTTTCCCATTTACTGCCTATTGCCAAAAATCACCAGTATCTTTACTTCTAATACTGCAGATAGGCATGTAAATATAATAAATAATACTCTATGTGTATGCTATGTTCATTTGACTTCTTTGGTCAGCATCATGTGTATGTCATCTGTCCATATTATATGGAACAATAACTATTCTCATTGCTGTGGTAGAATAAGTATATTTGAGTAGCTTAGGAGAAGTTTTCCTTCCTAAAGTAGTTTGTGTCACAGTGCTAATGGAGGGATTGGGTTGGCTTTCATAATTATGAGGAACTGTGATATCTGGAAGGTCCTGGGAAGGAGGAACATGATAATGCTCTAAAAAGCCAGTGGGCCAACTTGATGGTAAAGCAGTTACATACCTCCGTGTTGCCTCTGTATTTACTTTTGCCAGTAAGTTGGTGATTCTTTTTTTTTTTTTTTTTTTTTGAGACAGAGCCTCAAGCTGACCCCCTGGGTAGAGTGCTGTGGCATCTCAGCTCACAGCAACCTCCAACTCCTGGGCTCAAGCGAGTCTCCTGCCTCCACCTCCCAAGTAGCTGGGACCACAGGTGCCCGCCACGACACCTGGCTATTTTTTGGTTGCAGCCGTCATTGTTGCTTGGTGGGTCTGGGCTGGATTCAAACCCACCACCTTAGGTGTATGTGGCTGGCGCCTTAGCCTCTTGAGCCACAGGCGCTGAGCCAGTTGGTGATTCTTTACTGTTTTTTTGTTTGTTTGTTTGTTTGTTTGTTTAATTATTATTATTATTTTTAGAGATAGAGTCTTACTTTGTTGCCCTTGGTAGAGTTCTATGGTGTCAGAGCTTCTAGCAACTTCCAACTCCTGGGCTTAGGCAAGTCTCTTGCCTCAGCCTCCCGAGTAGCTGGGACCATAGGCATCTACCACAGCGCCCGGCTATTTTTTGTTGCAGTTTGCCTGGGGCTGGGTTTGAACCTGCCACCCTCGGTATATGGGGCCAGCACCCTACTCACTGAGCCACAGGTGCCACCCTTTTTGTTTGTTTCAGGTTTAATAGTAATATCTAGCATTTATTGAGCTCTTACTGGGTACAAGTACTATGCAGATTGCTTTATTGAAATGACTTTATTTTCACCAAAACTGATGTATTAATGTTCTGGAGAGTAAGGCCTTGGTTGGTGCAGAAGAATGCATCCTTTAAACTTATGTCAGGGCCTGTGGCCTCTGTTATCTAACTGTTTACTCTTTTCATGTGTAGGTATGTCATTGATGGTGCCACTGCTCTTTGGTGTGCAGCTGGAGCAGGACATTTTGAAGTTGTCAAACTTCTAGTCAGCCATGGAGCCAACGTGAACCATACTACAGTGACTAACTCAACCCCCCTGCGGGCAGCATGCTTTGATGGCAGACTGGATATTGTGAAATATTTGGTTGAAAATAATGCCAACATCAGCATTGCCAACAAGTATGACAACACCTGCCTAATGATTGCAGCATACAAGGGACACACCGATGTGGTCAGGTACCTTTTAGAACAACGTGCTGATCCCAATGCTAAAGCACATTGTGGAGCCACAGCATTGCACTTTGCAGCTGAAGCCGGGCACATAGATATTGTGAAAGAGCTGATAAAATGGCGTGCTGCTATAGTAGTGAACGGCCATGGGATGACACCATTGAAAGTAGCTGCCGAAAGCTGTAAAGCTGATGTTGTTGAGCTGTTACTATCTCATGCTGACTGTGACCGAAGGAGTCGGATTGAAGCTTTGGAACTCTTGGGTGCCTCCTTTGCAAATGACCGTGAGAACTATGACATTATGAAGACATACCACTATCTATATTTAGCTATGTTGGAGAGGTTTCAAGACGGTGATAACATTCTTGAAAAGGAGGTTCTCCCACCAATCCATGCTTACGGGAATAGAACTGAATGTAGAACTCCTCAGGAACTGGAATCCATTCGGCAAGACAGAGATGCTCTTCATATGGAAGGCCTTATAGTGCGGGAACGGATTTTAGGTGCTGACAATATAGATGTTTCTCATCCCATTATTTACAGGGGGGCTGTTTATGCAGATAACATGGAATTTGAACATTGTATCAAACTGTGGCTTCATGCCCTGCACCTTAGGCAGAAAGGTAATAGGAACACCCACAAGGATCTTCTTCGATTTGCTCAAGTTTTCTCACAAATGATACACTTGAATGAAACTGTGAAGGCCCCAGACATAGAATGTGTTTTGAGATGCAGCGTCTTGGAAATAGAACAGAGTATGAACAGAGTGAAAAATATTCCTGACGCTGATGTCCACAATGCTATGGACAATTACGAATGTAATCTCTATACCTTTCTGTACTTAGTGTGCATCTCCACCAAAACACAGTGTAGTGAAGAAGATCAGTGCAGAATTAACAAGCAGATCTACAACCTGATTCACCTTGATCCCAGAACTCGTGAAGGTTTCACTTTGCTGCATTTAGCTGTCAACTCGAATACCCCAGTTGATGATTTCCACACCAATGACGTCTGCAGCTTTCCAAATGCACTTGTCACCAAGCTCCTGCTGGACTGTGGTGCTGAGGTGAATGCTGTGGACAATGAGGGAAACAGTGCCCTTCATATTATCGTTCAGTACAATAGGCCCATCAGTGATTTTTTGACCTTGCACTCTATCATCATTAGCCTAGTTGAAGCTGGCGCTCACACTGACATGACAAATAAACAGAACAAGACTCCACTGGACAAAAGTACAACTGGGGTATCTGAAATACTACTTAAAACTCAAATGAAGATGAGTCTCAAGTGCCTGGCTGCCCGAGCAGTTCGGGCTAATGACATTAACTACCAAGACCAGATCCCCAGAACTCTTGAAGAGTTTGTTGGATTTCATTAAGTGACTGGATATGTAAAATCGTTTAATGTGGTGCTAAAAAGTAAAGGACTTTAATCACAGACAATAGAATTATGTGTTCATAAATTCTACTCCCCCTCCCTTCCTCCCAGCCCATGCTTCCTCAGTTCTGTATTTGGTCTTCTTGCTTCGTATGGTAATTGATTTCAAACACACTTTAAACAAAGCCACATTGTTTAGGTGTAGCTGTTACCTAAGGTGTTTGGATATTGGTCACCTAACTATTTGTCTTCTTTTTTTAATTTTTATTTTTTTATTTTTTAAGGAATGAGTATAAGATATTCTGTTTATGCAACAGGGACTTTTATGTTTTCAAATTGATGATGTTTTAAACAGCTGCTTACAAAAGTATTTCAGCCTATGTCAGTGTGTTGTCCATGCAGCAGTTTTGTGGATTGCATGAAGAAGAAGAACTAAAAAGGAACATTCAATGTAATGGGATATCCAGATGTTCTGCACATGCCAAACTGCTGTCGATAGTTTTCACTCCTCCGTTATTTATGTGGAGTGACACAGCATCTTTTAATGGGAGAGGATTTAAAATATAGCTACAGATTAATTTGAAAAATGTGCTGATTTAATAATAGTTACAAATTTCTAAAGTTAAATTCATAGTAATTGTTGCATTATTCTGGGGAGTATATACAAAGTAGTAAAGATCTTAAACCAATTTTTCCAAATATGTTGATGAACTCTGCCTTTAGGATTGAATTCTTCCAAGTCTGTTTTAATGTAATTTATCTAAATTGCAGCAGTCTGCATTGGATTCAGCTCACAGACATATAAAAATTATATGAGTGCTGTTTTCTTATGCAACAGATTGTCACAATATAGTCATCCGTTCTGTTTTGTCTCCTTTTCCCTTTCCTCCTGTATCCTATTTTAAAATTTGGAAAATACTTTCTAGAGGGCGTTATTTGTACCTGCCTAAGAAGGTATTTATGGACAGATGAAAAGGAACCAGGATATTTTTGACTTTTTTTCACTTTTTTAAATTAGTCTGTGACAAGAAGTAGAAAAATCACTAGTATAGTATAAGAAATTAAGTATTTTTGATGCTAATAATTCTCAATGCCACTTGAAAGGTATTTCTGTCTGAGAGCTGTAAAGTTTTCATCCACATAATGTCACTTATTCTGACAGGCTGTACAGAGGTCTTTATCGCTTTTTGTTTTGTTTTAATGGCAATATTTTAACTGTCAAAAGAGTATTCTGTGATTATTGTTTAAGCTTCACAGAAATTCAAGTAAAGGATACACATGTATTTCTATTGATGTTAAAAACGATAATGAAAGTAAAATTAGCTGTATCTGTAATTTTCTCTCTAGTGCCAAATGAATGCCTTAGCTACTCATAGTGCATGGTACTGTAAGTGAAGACTTGCAGTTTTTTTTCTTTAATGGAAAGCATTATAATGACGTAGCAACATCAGATATAAACTTATAAAAACTTAAGATTTTAATTAACATTTATGTATGAATGATGCTTTGTTAACTATTAAGAGAAAGGTTGCAGTTTGATTAGTATAAAACAATGACCAAGCCAAAATCAGCACCTAGGGCCTTAAATAAAATCGAGATAACCCCACAAAATGAAATAATTGAAGGATGGGAGGGCAGAAGGGGGTACCTTAAAAACTTCCCCCTCCAAGGATGCAAGATGCTTTTACAGTTGCTATAGTTATACTTTGTGTGTCTTCTTGCTTCAGTTTAGGAACGTTTTGATGGTAAATTCTGTCATAATAATAGATATCTATTTTCCTAACCTGAGACTTTACAAGGAAGGTTTTAGGATGGTATTTGAATGAGCCCTAATTTGAAAATTACTGACCTTGATCCTCCTGGTATCAATCAAGGAAACATTATACCTTGCTCTTGGCAATATGAAGTAACCTGAAAGAGAAAATGTGCTTCCTCAAGGTGAGTGAATGACACCTTTTCCATGGCTCAGATCAGACCCTTTATTTTTCATATTACAAGGCCTGCTTGTTGGACAGTCTAAGGAATAGCAAGACACTTGGTATTCAGTTGGTTCCATTATTAATGTGTATGATTTTTAAACACCAAAACTTAAAATATCAGATAATGTTGCATGTTTTAAAAATACATTTCATCCCTTTTGGCTACCCAGGACCAGTGCTATTTAAGACATTGTTTATTGACAAAATGAGGATAATGATTATATGTACATAAAGACATCAAAATTTAATGACACTCTTTTTGAGAAGGGAAGACAATGCTGGAGAAAGTAAAACCATGCTGAATGAAATGCTGACAAAGTTGGAGAAAGAAATTTGAAGACAGTGGAATAAACTATGAACTGTGCTAATGGTAATTAGACTTTTTTGTTGTTGTTTAGTATAGTAGTATATTGTGCAGTATCTTACTGAGGATCTAATTATTGTAAAATCAATCCAATTGTGTATTGTGAAACACCTGTATAAAACTATTCTTGAAACAAGTGCTCTACATGCCTTTTTTTTAAAAATGTTTTTGGTAGAATTACTTTAAAATGTTTAGCCAAACCCTTCCCAAACTTAACTTTTTTTTAAAAGGAAAACAAATAGGTAAGAAAATGATAGTTGTGTATCTTAGCCCTCTGAGAACTCAAGCTGTCTCTGTTTTGCAGCCACTGTGGTCATTGGTATTTATTATTGATATGCTTATGCTTTGACTTGTAACTCTTCCTCGATATTACAGATTCAATCAGAACTTCTCTGTCCTGCTCAGTAATTGTCATATATGATCTAGATGAAGTAGAGTCTCAGAGGGATGCTTTCATTTGCAACTCATGTGAAACTTAAGTGGGTTTTAGGCTCTTAACAGGGTTGGTGATACTGAACTCTTTGAGTTTAGGTAACTGTTTAACTCAAAGGATAGGCAGCCTATCCATCCCCTCAACTGATAAAAGAAGGGGGAATATTTTCCCCCAGAACTGACACAATAATGTAGCTTTTTTCAGTCCAACCTGAATTGCTCTAGTAGGCCACAGCCCAACTATTTTGAAGTTGTTTGCTGTGGGAACTTTAAATGAACAAATAAAACCCTAAAAGCAGACCATCTGTGAGCTTTTCTCTCACTTATTTCTGAGAAGGGTTTTAATTCCTTATACTAATAGTTGATTAATAATTGGTAACTGTGAGAACTTAGGTATGATAGCATTGTTTGAAGTAAAATATGATTTGGGGGCAGCAACTCCCTAAATACCAACTCTGTATTTGGCAAGTGGTTTGAAAACTAAAATGTCAAGGGAGCAACACCCTGTTAAGGAGTTTTTACCACAGTTGAGGCAGCTACTTTATGAATAAGATCACTTTAGATTATTTAAACAGAGGCTTTTTTTTTTTTTTTTTTGGAATGGGGTGGGATGAGGGGTGAGTTGCTAGAGACCTTGGATTACAGTTGGCTGGTTTAGAAGCAGTCAGTCAGTGGTTGAACTAGTGAGTAGATGTATGGAAGTATAAAGGACTTGTGTTTATGGTGGACTTTCTGTAACAAATGTTCCTCTTCAGGCTAATCAGATGTGTCAATACACAGATGACTATTCTGTTTTTCTCACTAACTATAACATTAAAAGGGGTTAGAGAAACAAAACTCTGCATTTTGCTCTATGAAAAGTTTTTAGTCCAGAATTGTGTTCATTCCTATTACGAAAATCCATAGCTTTGTTCTAGATAGCGTCTCTTGAAAGTAGAAAGCTCCTATTATGTGTGTCCGTTGAAGGGCTTTCTTAACGTTTCTGGCACACTTGCTCAAACCTTCAGTGAGCTGGGTTGTACAGCAAGCATTTCCTGCCCCTGATATGGGATCTGAACTAAGTGCCATGTTGACAGTGATTTTTTTTTTTTTTGAGATAGAGTCTGACTTTTTTATCCCCATAGAGTGCTGTGGCATCACAGCTCACAGCAACCTCAAACTCTTGGGCTCAAGTGATTCTCTTTCCTCAGCCTCCCCAGTAGCTGGGACTACAGGTGCCCGCCACAACACCTGGCAATTTTTAGAGACGGGGTCTTGCTCTAGCTCAGATGTTCTGCCTGCCTTGGCCTCCCAAATTGTTGGGATTACAGGCGTGAGCCACTGTATCCGGCACCAACAGTGATTATATACTAATTTTTAAAACTGTAAAGTAAATGTCTCTAGTCCTAGGTTTTGGTGTGTACCTTTGTGTTAATGTGTCAGGAAGGGACAGTGACAAGATGGTTATGGGGAGTGTATCTTAATGTGTGTGCAGGGACGAGTATTGCTAAATTATTAACAGCTTTTTATTTAGGGGTGAGTCATGTGATGAATGGCCTACTCAGAAAAATGAAGGGGCGAAGATTCAAGCTTGCCAAGTGATGACATGAACACAATTTTATATCTTTCTATCAGGTGTTGTAAACTTTGTGCATGGCTTTTTTGTTGTTGTTGCTTAGTAATTGGTAAAGGAGAAAAGATGAGGAAAAATACTCAGCTTTCCTAACTGGTCTTTTCAGAGGTATATAGTTGGGGAGTAAAATCTGAGTGGCCTAATCTATTGAAAAGATCCTGTCCTTTATAATATTTATCCCATCCTGCAGTCCTCTGTGTAGAGGAACTACATTGTTGTATTCTAGTAATCCACTGTGATTTATAACGAACCAGTGATGTCATTCTATTGTGCACTTTTGTCAAACCATTTATGTGACTTTAATAAACATAGTAAACTTACTGACTGCAAGAGGTCTGTTAGTGATTTATATATTGCATGGCATTTTCTATTTGAGTTTGACATGTAGAATCATTTTTAATTTCTTGGCATTTGATAGTCCTAATAGCTCAGCTAATTTTAAACTAACAATCTTGCTGTGTAAAAGGAAAAATGGTGTCGTGTTCAGTAAATGTTTGAAAAAACTACTTTGAGGTTTGTGTCTTTATTGTTCACTGTGCCTTAGCTGAGGTGATCTTTTGTTGAGTTCATGAGAAAAAAAAATTGTCAAAGTTATACATGTTCCTGGGAAAAATTCAGATGGTAAAGAAGAATTCAAAAAGTTAAAAAAAGTTCCAGGCAGTACCTGTGGCTCAGTGAGTGAGGCTCCAGCCCCATATACCAAGGGTGGCGGGTTCAAACCCAGCCCTGGCCAAACTGCAACAAAAAAATAGCCGGGCGTTGTGGCAGGCACCTGTAGTCCCAGCTACTCGGGAGGCTGAGACAAGACAATTGCCTAAGCCTAAGAGCTGGAGGTTGCTGTGAGCTGTGATGCTACAGCACTCTACCGAGGGCAACAAAATAAGACTCTGTCTCTAAAAAATTAAAATTAAATTAAAAAAAATTATAAAAGTTCCCTTCCCATCCCTCCCTAACTTCCTATGTAGACTCTATAGAAACAATCACTATTAATAGTTTTAAGTAGCTTCCCAGAATTTTTCTGTGTGTGTATATATATTATTTCTCTTTGTCATTTTTTTTTTTTTTTTTTTGAGACAGGAGCCTCAAGCTGTCCCCCTGGGTAGAGTGCTGTGGCATCTCAGCTCACAGCAACCTCCAACTCCTGGGCTCAAGCGAGTCTCCTGCCTCCGCCTCCCAAGTAGCTGGGACCACAGGCGCCCACCACAACGCCTGGCTACGTTTTGGTTGCAGCCGTCATTGTTGTTCGGCGGGCCCGGGCTGGATTCGCCACCTTGGGTGTACGTGGCTGGCGCCTTAGCCACTTGAGCCGCAGGTGCCAAGCCCTCTGTGTCATTTTTTAAAGTGTAAATGAACTTTCACCTTTCCTACACTATTCCACATCTTTTTAATTTAATGTATCTTAGGCATTTTTTTCCATCTCCATATGTATGGATTTTTAAAGAACAGCTTCATAGCATTTAATTCTGTGGATGGACTTAAAAATTTATTTAACCAGGTCTTATTTATGTACTTTTAGGGTTTCAGTTTTTGATATTCCAAATAATGCTGCAGTGAACATTTATTTATTTATTTATTTTTCTAATAGCATCAGTTATGTTAGGATGCAGTGAACATTCTTATCACAAGACAAGTTTATTTCTAATACTGATTTAGTGACTTCAGAATCCTGATAGAGTATCTGATTGCCTTCCATCTTCTTACACCTTTGTTGACATCAGTTACTACCTAATCATTTAGTTTTTGCCAAGGTTATTAATGAAAAATAGTATTTCATGGTTTAGATTTATTGCCTGTATTATGAATGAAGTTAAACTCTCACATATTACTTGCCATTTATATATTTTTTGCTATTGAGTTGTGCTCTTTTTCTTAATAGTAGTTAGAAATTCCTTGGACTTTTTTTTTTTTTTTGAGACAGAGCCTCAAGCTGTCCCCTTGGGTAAAGTACCGTGGCATAGCTCACAGCAACCTCCAACTCCTGGGCTCAAGCGAGTCTCTTGCCTCCGCCTCCCAAGTAGCTGGGACCACAGGCGCCTGCCACAATGCCGAGCTATTTTTTTGGTTGCAGCTGTTGTGGTTTGGCAGGCCCAGGCTAGATTCGAACCCACCACCTTAGATGTATGTGGCTGGCGCCTTAGCCACTTGAGCCACAGGTGCCTAGCCAATCCCTTGGACCTTTAAGGAAATTTTCTCTGTTATATAACAGTTATTTGTTTTTTGACTTAAAATATGGCAGTTTTCCTATCAGAAGTTTACATTTTTATGTAATCATTTTTTTCTTTTTTAATGCTTTGAGCAGAGTATATAGTCAGATTTGTCTTTTTTTTTTTTTAGTGGCTTGAGTTTTATATCTTCCTTTTTTTTTTTTTTAATATCTTCCTTTTAAGGCTATCTTCCATTCCAAGATCATTCATCTTTTTTACCCATGTTTACTTGAAAAAGAGAAAGTTTTATGGCTTCTCTCCCCTTCTTTTCTCTTAGTTTTAAATTTTTGACATACCTGGAATTTATTTTTATGTAAAGATTCAGGGAGCCAGGAACCTCTGAATTATTTCCCACTGATTTGAATTACAAACTAAATTCTCTTAATGTAATTGGATCTTTTTCTGGATTCTCTGTTTTGTTGATTTTGAAGTGTGGTGGAACTCTGGGGAATGTGGTCTGGGTTCAGATCCTGGCTCTGAACTTACCAGCTTTGTGACCTTGAGCAGGTTACTTTTCTATCTAAGCCTCAGTTTCTGTTAATTGGGACAGTAATACATATTAGGTAACTTGGAGTATTGATAAGCAAATGAGATAATTAAATGCTTAACATAGTGCCCGAAATACAGTGAAAAGCCTGGTAAATAAGAAATATCAGTTGGGCATGTAGTTCTTCATGTGTCTTTTAGCAGGGGTTGGTAGAAGGAAATGATTTTTTTCATTATTGTGTATTTATTTGATAAACTTTGGTATCATTTTATCATATCAAAAGATTATTTTATTTAGCATTACATTAACATATTAGTATAGGGAGACTTGACATCTCCACAAATCTGGGTCTTTTTTTTTGGCTGGGGCTGGGTTGGAACCCATGGGGCCGGCACCCTACTCTT